TGAAGGAAAGGAGGTGTATTTATAGGCTTTTGGGATGCAGTTCGGGTACCCGATCAAGTATATACACGGTACCCGATCGGGTATGTGTAAAACGTCAACTTCGAAGCATACTCGATCGGTTCTGGGCTATATTCTATGGGTATATCCGATCGAGTATGTGTAGAAAATAATATTCGAGCTATACTCGATCGAATTTGGGGTTAAATTCAAAGGCATACCCGATCGGGTATGTCGGTCTACCCGATCGGGTATAGACACTCGATTGTGGTCAAAATCTTCCCTGCATGTTCCTTTGTCTTCGGATCCGATCCGATTTGAAGTTTCAACAAGATACCCGATCGAGTATAGATGATACCCGACCGGGTATAGATCAAAAATTCAGGATCCTTATTTTTTCTTGAGATTATGCACCTTTCTTCCACTTTTGGGGTTCACCAACTGTCCTTTGAGTGATCAAGACCTGTTTGAGCTCAGAATGAACCTAATCTAAACAATGTACAAGAATTTAACAAACTAAACTATTACACCAAAAGTGTGTAATTTCCAAAGTAAAAATCAATCAAAACTAATTAAAAATACAAACATACACATGGAAATTACATGATTATCAACTGCCCCACACTTAGTTTCTTTACTCGTCCTCGAGTAAAGTCAAATGTTCACAAGTGTCAAGTCTTCCACAGTTTCAACAATTTTAACAAGATAAAAACACAAAGACCACCAAGGATAAAACATGAGTTTTAAGCTCAAATTACAAATATCATCTTGGGTTTTATGGCCTTCTAATGCTCATCTTCTCTTCTTCTCCTCTCTTCTTCTTCTTTTTGAATCTTTTTATTCTCCAAAGAGATCAAATGAGTGCCTGCAAAAACAAATATTTCTCTCATATCTCTCATTTTGCCTAGGAGCCTTTTCAGGTTTTCATCCTAGCATCTCTTTTTATTTTCCATTCTCCCCAACTCAATCTTTTTTTTTGTTTTATAAGCCCTTTTTGCTTAGATTGCCCATTTTTGGGGGTTTTCAACCTAACTAGCATTTCTTTTCTTTTATTTATTTCTTTTTTGTTTTTATTTTTAATTTTTTTATTTTTATTTTTTGCTCAAAAATACTAAAAGTAAAGAGAAACATGCTAGTTTCAAGGTAGAAAAAAAAAATTTACATACCAATGAGTGGTCTCCCCCCTTCTTAGCTTGAGGCATTGTCCCTAATGCCCGCCTTCTCCGCCATAGTAGCCACCTCCAAAGCCGCCCCCAAAGCTGCTATCAAATACGCCACCGGTGCCGCCATCCCCCATTGTGTCGTTGCCTCCACCACCAGAACCTGAACTGCCAAAGCTACCCCAATGAGCGGGGTCGTACCAAGAGAGTGGTGGTGGAGGAGTGGCCATAGTATGAAAAGAGCCTTGATCGGCTATGTAGGAGTACATAGGTCCATAAAGCCTACGTTGATCCTCCTCATAGCGGTGGTTGTCAGCTTCTCGGAGCTCTTCCATCCGTTGAAAACCTGCCCTTTGCTCCTCCTTCACTTGGTTGAGTCGGTCCCCCATGGCTATGTAGTTTGTGTTCATTTGGTTGTACCCCGCAAGTATTTGTTGTTGATCCTCCAAAATTTGTTGAAAATAGTTGGGTGGTGGAGGGTCTTGAGGTTGCTCGGGGATGTCTGCGTCCATGTCTTCATGACCATGGGGTCCGACATAAGGCTCGTCCTCGGGTTGGTCTTGTTGGGGTTCTTGGAGATGTGGTGGAAGGGCATGTGAGAATAGGTAATGGGGCACCTCTACCTCTACTTTGTAGAGCAGTTTGGGGAGGTCTGTGCTAGGAATAAGGAAGTGTTTGATAGGCTTGGGGTGTATGAGCCAATTGTACATGTTTTTCGGTTGTTCACCGCCATACACCGTGTGGGAAAAAGCTGTGCATCCCGAGTGACCCAATCAAGCTATATTCATCAAACAATAGTCGGGTATAGGAGAGTTATCCGTATACTCGAACTTACTTGCCAAATGCATAACCACCCCACCCAAAACAATTGCCCCCCTCGTTGTGCTTTCCTTTTTTAAATGTGCCCACATGAGATTGCACAGGTTAAAGTCCACATGACGACGGAATAGAGCCACCGACATTAAGCACACATCCCCAATCCTAGTGTGGTGATTGTTGGGGCGCCCAAGCAAACGGTTTGCTAAAAACTTCAAGAACAATCGGAGGACGGGGTGTTGGACATGACTAATATATAGTTGGGAGGAGCTAAAGCTCACTTCTCCGGTCATCTTGGTCCACAGTGAATGACCGAAAATGGTGTTGTCGGAGATAGCTCTTTCGTAGGGGACGGGGATGCCAAAATGTTCGGCAAACTCAAGTTTCGTTATTGAATAGGTGTGGTTAAATAAACGAAATGTGAGTTTGTCATCTCTAAAATCACCCTCATTGCTTTCAAACCTCACCGAGCTCAAGAATTCATAGATAATTCTTTCGTTAGAGTTGTATTTCATTTTGAAAATACGGTTCATGTCCAACTCACGAAAGAATTGCTTGGTACTCCTATAAATGCCTAGTTCACAGAGAGCATCATGGCATAAAAAACGGGAAGGTTTTACTTGCCTTGTAATTGTAGTGATGAACCGAGCTCGGTGTTCGTTGTCGGCGAAAATGAGGTCCTCGTAGCCCGGGATGGGTTCCATAGCCCTTGAGCTCTGCCCTTTGTCCTTTCTTGGTGCCATTTTTGTAGATTTGGAGCTTGAAATTGGGGAAATTCGAAAGTGGGTTATGGTTTTTTCGGACCTTTGGAAATTGGGGAAAAATTGGGTTTATGGGTATGGGTGTGTAGAGGAAGGTGAGGGGAGTATTTTAGTGGAAGAATGGGGTGATTTGATGGAGAAATGAGGGAGATATGGTAGAGAGAAGGTTCGAAAATGGAGTTTGGGGAAGAGGGTTCGAAAATTGGGTTGGGAAATTGGGGAAGATGAGGTGATTCGGGCTGTTTTGGGGTTCAAACGCAGGTATACCCGATCGAGTATTGTGTGATACCCGATTGGGTATTGGAGACAGTTTGTTCAGGACTTCGGTTTTCCAGCCATACTCGACCGAGTATCTTGCCATACCCGATCGGATACTGGAGACAGTTTGTTTGGGCTTTTGAATTTCCAGCAATACCCGACCGGGTGTATAGTCATACCCGATCGGGTATGTTTCTTTTTTCACATTTTGAGCCCTGTACTTGGTCGAGTGCTGGGAGCAGGCTCTATTTGGCTTCGTCCTTCTGAACATACTCGATCAGGTGTGTGGTGATACCCGATCGAGTATTCTTCCTTTTGCAATATTTGAACCCCGTACTCGATCGAGTGTCCGGGGCAGGTTCCTTTTAGCTTTGCCTTTTTATGAATACTCGACCAGGTATGGGACTGTACCCGATCGAGTATACATGTATTCTTGAAAAAATATATTCCTTCGATCGAGTAGTGATTCGGTTCCCCTTTTTTAGCCATACCCGCCGAGTCTAAGGTGGTACTTGATCGGGTATGTCCCCAGATACTTCAAAACCTGCATTTTCCTTTTTTCTCCAAAACATGCGGTTAGTGTCCTCTCTCACTGATCTCTCAAACACTAGTACAAAAAAGCCTTTTCACATCACCTTATTCACATGTGTTATTTCAAAACCCATGTGAAATAGTGACACGGGGTCATTTTCACAATTTTTAAAAACCTTTTTACATTGGTTTTTGTTAAAACCGATTTTAAATAGTAAAACGGGTACTTTTTAAAATTTCACGAAATATTCTAAATCGGTTATCTTTGTAACCGATGTGAAAACAAAAACGGGGTAATTTTCATAAATAATGAAACTTTATTTTAGATTGGTTACAACATCGGCTCAATTCATTTTGTCACGCCTTATTATATGCGATTTCAGACCTAGAAGGCAACCTGGCGTATGTGAGTGACGGAAGGCAGTGAGACGGAAGGAGTGTTGGACCTGGCGGCGAGTTACAGTGCGTCGAGACGAACCTTCAAGCGGACGTCTAGACGAACCTTCGAGCGGAGGGCGTTCCAGCAGACAACGTTCAAGCGGCTTTCGAGTAGACGAACCTTCGTCTTCGGCCGACGTTTGAGGGAGCACTGGTAAGGGTAACTACCTTTTTAACCCATCAATTCCTATTGCCCTCGATTTCCTCTTGGCGAAAGTTTGCTCTCGATAAATTGGTATCGATTTCCTATTGCTCTCGATTTCCTCTTAGACGAACCTTCATAAATTGCTTGCTGGTTGCCATCGATTTTGACCATGATTTTTTTCAATGTCTGAAAATGGCCTTACCTTTTTGGTTTAAATTGTAAAAATGTTTGCTGGCAGCTTCCTAGTTCTATATTTTTGTGTTTGAGTGAACATTTCTGCTTGTTAGAACTTGATATGTGGAAGTTTAGGAACTTTAAATGTAGTCTAGTATATCTCAGTAGTCTAGTATAAATGGAAGTTTAGGAACCTTAAATGTAGTCTAGTTTAGAACTTGTTATCTCAGTAGTCTAGTATAAGCAATTATCTAAACACTACAACAAAGTGGGTCTTTCGTGTCGACATTTTGTCGACGCAAAAAGTAGCAAATCGACGCAAATAACTTTTTTGCGTCCACCTGTCGACGCAAAAAGGTCGACACAAATATTCGGACGCAAATAGTTCTTTTGCGTCGACCGTATGCGACGCTAATAATAAAAACGTATTTGCACCGACATGTGAACGGAAAAGATAGTACATGTATAATCAGCTACATGTCGACGCAAAAGACTATAAAATTAATTGTGTCAACGCGTCGACGCAAATAATCAGATCAATTGCGTCAACATGTTGACGCAAAAGATGATATCCTCATTTAATTCTACCAAATTTTTGTGTCAATGTGTCGACGCAAATAATTAAAAAAAATTGTATATATTCATTTTATTTTGTCTATTTACTCCTGTTACACAATTTTTAATCAAGATCAAAGTTGACACAATCAAAACGACAAAATCTAAGATAATTCCCAACATATCATTTCATTGAATGTCTAATAATATTAAATTAACGTCAAAATTAAAGTAATTCATGTCAAACAAAGTCATAATTCAAGCAAATATAAATTCATCCACCTTAACAAATTAGAACGCATATTAAACATGCTTTCACTAATTCTAATCATCATCATTTTGGCTCTCATCAGGTCTATTTGCACTGGACATCGAAGGAGCATCGCTTCCGGAGGCACGTGAAGGCAACTGAAAGCCGGGAATAAAATGTCGTAGAGCACTGAGTATCAATTCCTGATTTGCCCGCAATTCACTTATCTGAGCATCACGGTGATCTTGCAATGTAGAAGTAGCACCATCTTCCAAGCGACGCGATGCACTCTTTGACAGTGTAGGGCCTACTCCACTTTGTCGTCCTCGATGATTCTTCAAGTTTCGGTTCATGATCTCAATTTCATTTATTGATGAAGATGACCCTGCTTGTTCTAGTTGTGTCTGATACTCCTCGCTCATTCAGTCCTATCAAATTATATACCAAAACAATTACATATTATTAAGGATACAATTAATTAAAAAATCATTTACTTACATATTTTTCATGTGCTTCTTTAGTCCTCCATTCACCACTACGAGTCAAGCGTTGATCCTTCCAATTCTCAAGAGCCGAAGATTGCTCACCAGTTATCGGATTATCCTATATAGTATTCATTACAATAAACAAACATATAAAAATGATTATAAGTAACATGAACATAAGATAACTAACTTCATTTTTTATGATTATAACCACCATAAAAATGCCAAAAAAATTGCAAAAAAATGCAAGAACATATGCAAAAAATAGTCCAAAAACATTAATGAAATCCAATAAAAAATTGCCCGCAAAAAATTGCACCACAAAAATATTATTAGAACACGCATTCATATTTCATCACACACTACTCCCAAATATATTCAATCACTCAACACTAATCAATACCACAATTTAAAATGTAATGACAACGATTAAGGTCTTACTTTTTCGTGCATGTATTGGGCATATGATTTTCTTCCATGCCCACTTTTATCATCACTTGCTTCTCTATTTTGTATATTTTTTCCAGAGATCTCCTGTGAAAGAAGGAAACTAAGTCATAACTTCAAATTTTAACTACATAATGAAATAAATATGCTCATAGTTAACCTTGAACTTTGTTGAATTGAATCTCTCACAACACCTCTGCCAATGGTCATCACTTCGTACATTTACTGGTTTCTTAGCTTGCATACCTCCATTGTTTTTAAAATACACAGATAAATCACTTTTCCAATCATTGTAAGACTCTCGAGCATCACGATTCAGCACTTCATCAAATTCACGCTCATTCTCAAACTCAAACCAATCCTTCAATATATGAAAACATGGTCAATGTTATAATTAATAAACCTAATAAAAAACAAGACAACTTTTTTAATATTTACCAGCATCCGCTGGCGGATCATTGCTTTTTGACAAGCCGGAACATCGTCCCACCTATCGTGGAATGGCTCGCAACAGTCTCGTGTGTGTAGCGTCAACTATCTCTTTCTTCATGAATGGTCGAATACCAATAGGCAATAACCGCTGCATAATAACATGACAATCGTGTGATTTAAGACCTGAAATCTTATTATTTCCACCTATCACATTCTTCCCCAAGCTTGAAGCAAAGCCATCCGGAAACCGCACATGTTTTAAGAAATCACAGAATTTTGTACAATCGTTGGGGCTCAACGTGTATGCTGCATGTGGTTTCATTAACTGGTCACCATCTTTAAACAAGTGTAACTCTTCTCGAACTCCCAAATTCTCCAAATCAAGTCTTGCCTTATCCGTGTCCTTGCTCTTTCGATCAATGTTCAAGATTGTACCTAATAAGTTTTCACAAACATTTTTCTCTATATGCATAACATCTAAGTTATGACGCAATGACAAAGAAGACCAATAAGGCAATTCCCAGAAGATGCTTTTCTTGGTCTAATTCAACTCATGTTGTCTTCGTTTACGTTTACGCTTCTTTCCACCATAATCTTCATGCTTTCTGGGAACCCTAGGAGGAACATTTCGTAACTGCTCCAATATATCCTGAGTGGATTTGCGTTTTGGAGGAGTGCTTTTCTCAATGCGCCCATTGAACTTTTTATTCTTCCTCAATACATGGTCAATTGGTAGCCATGATCGATGCCCAACATAACATGTTTTACTTGTGATACGCATGGAAGGAGTATCAACATTGCATGTAGGGCACGCATAATATCCTTGTCCACTCCAACCGGACAAACTACTACGAGCAGGAAAGTCATTGATAGTCATGAGTAGAGCAGCCCACATTTGAAACCTAGTGTTTGTAGCTCCATCATGCACCACAATCCCTTCAGACCACAATTCTTTTAACTCATCAATCAAAGGCCTTAAGAACACATCAATATCCTTTCCAGGAGAAGATGGTCCTGGAATCAATAAAGTCAACAACTTATAAGGATCCTTAGTACACAACCATGGGGGTATATTGTATACAATCACAACAACTGGCCACATACTGTATGATAAGCTCATGTTTCCAAATGGATTGAATCCATCTGTAGATAACCCCAACCGCACATTTCTGGGTTCACTAGCAAAGTTAGGGTAGTTCTCATCGAACTCTTTCCACTCTTTACCATCAACTGGATGATGCATCACATCTGGATCGGTTGATTTCCCCATTTGATGCCATGTCATTTCCTTGGAGGTGTGACGTGAAACAAACAACCGTCTCAATCGATCCTTTAGTGGAAAATAACGGAGAACCTTCCATGGCACATTTTCCCCCCTTTCATTTTTCCACCGACTTGTGTTGCAAATTGGACATGTCTGTAGATCTGCATTACTCTTCCAGAATAAAACACAATCATACTTACATGCATGAATATTTTGATACCCTAATCCTAATTTGCTCAACTTTTTCTTTGACTCGTAATGAGAAGTTGGTAAATTACTACCATCAGGCAGTGCGTCTTTTAGTAGCTTTAGCACTAAATCCATACACTCATTTGGCCACTTATAAAGTACTTTCAAATGCATAAGTTTCACTAAAAAATTTAGTGATGAAATGTTGGTGCACCCTGGATACAACTCTGTGTGGAGCTCTGATAATAGATCCTTGTACTGACTATACCCTTCATCAGTGGTATTGTTTGTGGTCTCACCACCAATGCCATGGTCGTTAGTTTCCGCAGCAATGTCATTCAGTACAGCAGCCATTTCATCATCTAACTCATTGTCTGCAATCGGATTTTGATATGATGGTAACTCAGGCGCCTCACCATGAAAAACCCAATGTGCATATGTCACATCAAAGTCACATTCAAAGATGTGCCTTTTAACATCTCTCAATGGGCACATTTGCCCATTTACACAATGTTTACAGGGACAACTTATCTTTCCTTCTTCATTCACAAAGTCTTTTGCATAGTCTATAAAACCTTGTAATCCATTCCAAAACTCTTCTGATAACCGATTCTTTATAAATATCCAACTCTTATCTATCAGCATCCTCTAAACAAAGTGATCAACTTGAAGGCTCTACCAATCATTCATATAAAGACTAATAAACGAGTTTAATTAAAAAGGAGCATGTTATATACAACAATAAAGGTATACATTTTATTGGATAAATATCAAATTAGTAATTATTATATTCTTTAATTCCCAGAAAGAAACAACATACATAATTAGTACATATTGACAGGTGTTTCAATATGAGCATACTCAATTTCACACACATTTAAATACTCTGTATGTGATAAACAATTGAAAAATGAAATTCAACAAAAAGTACAAAAAAGAAACAAGAACACTAAGGTTTATGTAGTTAAACAAAAAGGCTATCTGCTTTTGGCATATGTAGGATTGTTGCTATGATATACGAATTATAACTCACATATCCTCAACAAACCAAGAAAAACACCATAATTCTGCTTATAACTTAAATGAGTAAGAATACTTCAGCTAAGAATGCACTCAGTTTACATTTTTTTAGTTATGCCTAATTTGACTACATGAGGTTGGAGTTTATCATTGAAATTGATTCAATTCCCATAAACATTTAAGCAACATAACACATTTTTATACTACGAATCTTCCTTCTTATATACTCACTTTTTGCAGTACATATACAGAGTATATGGTACAGAATTAAAGTGAAACTCATTTACGGTGTTTTGTTTTTCAATTATGAAAAGGTCAAAAATATGATTCTTTAGACGTTTTCCACAAAAGTACTCTAATACCAGACCAACAATAGTACTATTTCAGTCACTGTGTTTAACATTATGAGTTACTGATTTGCAATATCAGTCACTAGTCACTACAACAATTACTAGTTTACTACCATAGTTCAAATCGGATATAGTGACTGTTAATCATAATTAGTGAGCAACGCATAGAGTCACTATAACCCCGCCACCTGTGAACAATATTTGAAAGACAAAATATCTTAGTGACTAGTATTAGCTAATACTAGAGTAGTTGTAACTACTCCATGTTTTCCAGCAGAAACTTCTTCCATCAACGACAACAACATTCGACTGGAATATAAATCAAAATGAATTTGTTTTTCTTGTATGCCACCCCTGACAACCTTATAACACCAAAATGTGCTCTTATCTCGCAGATAGGTATCATTCACAAAAATTAGCCGACCAGACCCTAATAATTATGCTCTATCCTAAAGTAATTAATCAAAGTAGCTTTCGTAGATACTTTTACCTAATACGAAGTAATTGACAACAGAAATACCGATTAACAAGCAATTAACAGGACGAATTTGAGGGAAAAAAACGTGGAGGAGGAAGTAAATCTGAAATTCGGAGGAAGAATATTACCGTAGACGTACGGCGAGTCGTTCTCTTGAGCAGATTTCGGACGTAAATCTGAAGTGCAGCTCGTTGCGGTGCTAAATGGAGACTATCTCCTCATGGAGATTGATCCTCCATTGAGCTTGAGCTGTTCTTTCGATTTTGCCCTAGACATAGGGCGAGTGTTGTTTTAAATTATCTTCACTAGCGTCGAAGAAGAGACGCTAAAGTTTTCCCTTTTTTAAATATTTTTACATTTCGATTTTTGCGTCCACATCAACGACGCTAATGTTTTTTAAAAAAATCGGACTACTTTTAGCGTCAACAATTTAACGCAAATTCGAAAAAATTGAATTTTTTTCCGGATCATTGCTCAATGTTATTCGTGTCGGCTTGTCGATGCAAATTGTACGTTATTTGCGTCCACTAACGTCGACGCTAAAAGATTCGACACAAATAGTACTATTTCTTGTAGTGAAATATGAGTACCTGAAAAGCTGAATGTGCTATAATGAATGAATACTCATTAATTCAAATCTTCACATGATTGCTGATGGGTGACCTTTGGTTGGACTTAATCAACTGGAAACAGCCTTGCGCATGGTGAATGCATTCTTAAGCTCGTCCGAGTATCAGCATATTAACATTTTCATCAACTTTTATTCTAAGGTAAATTTCAGAGAACTAATGAGTGAAGTGAAGGAATATTATTTGTGTATTAAAAGCTTGTTTAGCACACAACATTTTTATCGTGGCATATATAGACCATAGTGCTAGAGGTGAATGCATGTGGTTAGTTTCTTACTCGGGGTTGCCCGATTAAGTTGATGTCTTATCTAATTGCTTTTATGATTGTTGAATTCATATCCTTTTCAATCTTTTCAGGTTTCATCATCACAAGCAAAACCGCTCCACTCCCAAATAGTCGGGGTCGGTGGCATAAATTTACACTTTCAGTTATTGATCTCAATATAGTTCCTTATAGATTTATACAAAAGACATGATAGTAAAGTTTAAAGTTGGAATGACTGTTTTGATGCAATATCTTTACGAAGAATAACTAATACCCACGATAACCTTTATTAAGAGGTTAGAGGAGAACAAGTATAAATTAAATTATTAAAACAATAATAAGTGTTATTTCTCTCAGTTTCTTTTCTCAAATGGGAAGAGATTAAAATGCATGCCCCTCCCACATTATTATTTTTTCTATTACCCTCAAACAAAACAAAGCATTAGCGTTATTCCATTAAAGGAAATATCATATTTTTAAAGTCTTGGCTGCTCCTGTTTTTAAGATGTAACCGCTAGTCTTGATATTGTATAAAAGTTCATTGTTTTCAAACACGATAAAGTGGTGTTATAACCTTCTGATTATGAGTTATCAATTAGCATAATAATGACTTCAAAATTACTCCTATGGTTAGGTTGACTTTTTAGGATGTTGAAGATAATTTTATTGTGAATCAAGTATGTCAGTTTTGTCTGTAATAGTCTAATTTACTATTTCCATCATGCACTAATATACTGTATCTCTTAGAATAGTACTCCCTCCGTCCCTATTTAAAAGTATATGTTTCCTTTTTGGGCTGTCCCCAAATAAAAGTATCCTTTCTATTTTAGGAAATAAAATTCACAACAAAAAGACCTTCCTACCCTCATTTACTTCTCCCACCGCCTCACCTTTTCGTATTCCACCCACTTCATTTACTTCTCCCACCGCCTCACCTCTTCCCCTCTTTCCTCTTATTCCACCTTCTCCATTTACTTCACCCCACTCGCACCGCTACATCTTTTCGTATTCCACCTTCTCCATTTACTTCACCCACTCATCTTCCCCTCTTCGTATTCCACCTTCTCCATGGCAAAACCAGGTGCTACGGACGAAGTGGAACAGAAATGGTTGGTAGATGCAAAGGTGGACACCGCTGTTGTTCCGGACTCCGAAGATCCCTCGGTTGGATCCCCGATTTGGCAGTCGCCGTCAGCTGGAAGCCCGATTTGGCAGTCGCCGTCGGTTCGAACCCCGATTTGGCAGTTGGAGTCGGCTGGAACCCCGATTATCCGTAATGAGCAAGAGTGTTTGATTGTCCCCGACTCTGAAGTTCAGTTTGATGAAATTGAGAAAGCATGTGCTGCGATTGACCCTGAGACAGTGCTCCTTGATGCGGATCTACGAAATTATCGGCCTCCTGACATGCAACTCCGCATGATTAAGTGGATTGCCATGATGCTCCCTGGTTATGTGTTTGATAAATAAAGGTCGTATCCATTCTCCTACTTGTATGATTACCTTACCAGTTCGGAGCCACCAGGGAAAACCCTAGGAGGCTTAGGTAATCTGTGATTGTGGCGTATATGAGGCCTCAGGCGTGTGTGTACTTGTCTGAGGTCAATGATAAATTGTTATCTGTGTTTGTGATGCTTGTCTGAGGTCAATGATCTGTGATTGTGGTGTATATGAGGCCTCAGGTCAGTGTGTACTTGTCTGAGGTCAATGATCTGTGATTGTGGTGTATATGAGGCCTCAGGCGTGTGTGTACTTGTCTGAGGTCAATGATAAATTGTTATCTGTGTTTGTGATGCTTGTCTGAGGTCAATGATCTGTGATTGTGGTGTATATGAGGCCTCAGGTTAGTGTGTGCATAGCGGTGAGTGTGTGATGCTTGTATGAGGTCAATGATGAAAATGTGAACTGTTTATGTGTATCCATTCTCCTACTTGTATGCTTACCTTACTAGTTCGGAGCCACCAGGGAAAACCCTAGGAGGCTTAGGTAATCTATGATTGTGGCGTATATGAGGCCTTAGGCGTGTGTGTACTTGTCTGAGGTCAATGATAAATTGTTACCTGTGTTTGTGATGCTTGTCTGAGGTCAATGATCTGTGATTGTGGTGTATATGAGGCCTCAGGTCAGTGTGTACTTGTCTGAGGTCAATGATCTGTGATTGTGGTGTATATGAGGCCTCAGGCGTGTGTGTACTTGTCTGAGGTCAATGATAAATTGTTATCTGTGTTTGTGATGCTTGTCTGAGGTCAATGATCTGTGATTGTGGTGTATATGAGGCCTCAGGTTAGTGTGTGCATAACGGTGAGTGTGTGATGCTTGTATGAGGTCAATGATGAAACTGTGAACTGTTTATGTGTGTCTGAGGCCTCAGGTCCCTGTATAAAAGCATCCATTTGAATGGCAGTGTGTGCATGATGGTGAGTGTGATGTTAATGGAGTTGGTTCATGTCCTAATGAGTCACCAGAGGAAACCCTAGGAGACCACGGGGGTTTGTAATGTGAATGTCTTCAATGATGAACTGCATGTAATTGGTTTTCTGATGATTGTAATTCGTCTGTGATGGTAGTGTGTGCTTCCTATGTGGTTTGACCCCTACTGAGTCACCAGGGGAAACCCTAGGAGACCATGGGGATGTGTGGCAAGCATTGTTTACAGTCAAAATACAAAAGTAGAGGTTGCATTAGTCACATTTGTGTAGGTATAATGAAATGCATTACAACCAAATTTTTGTCTAGTAAACTATCCAAAAAAGCTATCCCTGAACATGTCTAGTATTCAAAAAAGTAAAAATTTTGAACACTTTCCATGTTCACAACCCTAAAATAGTTTCACCCTTGTCATATCTTAACTGCTGCACTAGTTTGTCAATCTATCCAAAAAAGCTATCCATGTCTTCCAATGAGTATGTACTCATTTTTTAATGGACTCAACATGTCAAGTATTCCAAAAAGTAAAAAATGTGAATACTTAACTTGTTCAGTCCCCAAAAAACACTTCCACATTGGTCAATCCAAGTTCATTCCAAGGGCAATTCTTCAGTCACCTCCAATAATGCATTTGAGTCAGCTTTGAAACAGATTGGTAGGTTACCTTGAGCTTCTAGTTTACTTTTTCCTACATGTGGCACCTTGTAGTTATTGCCTCCCCTGACTTTCATAATTTCATTCATACACAACTGTAGAGTCAACCAAACATGATTCAATGCAATAGGACTGAACTGAGCATAAGCACTTTCCACCCCCACTCTGAGATCATGAACTGAGTTCCTTGGTGTGGTCTGTTGCAGTGACTGAATAGCTCTAAAAACCCTAGATCCAACACATTTAGATCAGGGCTATTAGGAGGCTGACATATTAGTTCAATGTTAAATCCATCTGAGGTGGCTTCTCTTATGAAGTCAATATCAGTTGGATTGATATGAGGTCTTGCATTGTCTTGTTGTATGTAAATATGCTTGCTCACACCTATAGGCCACTTAGCTTTGATAGCAGGCAATACAAAACTGAGAAGGCATTCCTTGTAAACATCCTTTGTGATTGAAACAATAGCTTTCTCCTCAAGTGTGCCAGCTTCCCTGTGTTTACTGTTTCTTTTAGTTGGTTGCATTGTACTAAATGGGAATATTCCAATTTTGCCATCAAAAATCACTTCACCTTTTGCTTGTATAATTGGTCTGGCAACTGCACACAGGAACATCACTTTAGTGATGAATCTTTTAGATTGACATGTCCTATGAGGCTCAACCTCATCCAGATGTAGGTAGTACTTCTGTGATGCCTCTGTCATGTAAAACCATTTTTCATCCACATGTACCACGTTAAACATGCCTTTATACTGGGGTACATTTGTTACTGTGTCCTCCTCAATGTTAGAAATGATCCATTTTAACCTCTGTATTTTATTCAAGTCTGTAAGATGAGGTTTGATAGCTGATGTGTGACTTTTGAACTCACCTTTTTATTTGAGTCTGTGCACACATGATTTTGGATGACCTAAAGCTGCAAAGAGTGACCTGAGATTCCTTCTGTTGCTTAGAGGAATATGCAGCATTTTTGACAGGTCAATGTCTAAGCCTTTCCTACCAACTTTTCCCTTCATCCTCAGATCTGGGTTCAAGGGAATTCCATATGCCTGTTGTTGCATGAGGAGATGCCATATTGTTGATATAGCCTTCCGGTGCACCAAGAACTGCTTGGTTATTTTTGTCAAGCTGCCATAGCCAATCTTTCCGTCATCTTGCCTTTCACTTTGAAGAAGAAGAGTTTGGATAGTTCTTCTATCTTCATTCGACAGCTTTTTGTACTTTGATCTTGTAGCAATTTGTAACTCAGAACTTTCTGCCATTTTATGCATGACAAACTGATGTAATTTGGCACTACTTCATTGGGCTGTTGCCTTTTTAATGTTGCTTTTGGGGGGAGTTTTGAATTTGATGA